TACTGACTTCTTCCTTCAGCTAGAGGGCAGGCTTCATCCAATGTGGCGGGTACTTTCTCGTCCTCACTAACTAGTCCTCCGATACCCCAAAGCAGTGGTTTGCAAGCTTCTGAAACCATGCACTCCTATTAGTACCAAGATTTTGAGCATGTACCCTCCTCTGCTCTATGTATACTTATTACTAGTTGCACACATGTATTACTATCTACTTGCTTATTAAATACTTAAAAGCTTCAGTTTTGTAGGAGTGCCTGCGTGGCTCAGTTGGTTGAGCATCTGACTCTTGATTTTGGCTCAGGTCATGATCTCAGGGTCGTGAGATTGCCCCTCATCGAGCCCCTCCTGTGGCTCCAGGCTCAGTGGGGAATCTGCCTGTCTCCCCCCTCCCTCTGCCCTTACCCCTGCTCACACACACATGCTCTCTCAAATAAATAAATAAATATACACCTTTTTCTGGATTGAAATCTTAAGTTCTATAAGAACAGTAACTATGACTAGAAGCCCTGATCGCGTCTTCCCATCGCCCCAGCGGGGCTTGGGGCGCACTCCACACCAGCCGTTGTGCCTCCACCCAGAGGGGCCCACGAGAAGCCACAGCCCTGCTCTCAGCTCTGCCCGGCCCATGAGGACTCGGCCTGGGGGCTTGTGTCAACCCCACGCTGTGGGTCCCGCTCTGTGTCCCTACTCGGTTCTCGGAGCTGAGGTCCCCTGCCAGAGGCGGTAGGAGTTTGTGGGAAGGACATGCGGAGGAGGGGGCTCTTCTCACTTCCTGGCTTCTGGCTGGTGCCGCCCGGACGCGGGCAGTGGGGGTGGAGGAAGAAAACCTCTCTTGATCTCTTGCAATGGGAAGGGTGGCTCCAAACAAGAGAAAGAAGGGGCCCGTAGCTGTTTTCCTTCAGTTCCGGGGGCAGGGCCTCCAGAATCCGGTTTCCCATGAAAATACGAATATGTGGAACTAGATGAAAACTCACACTGTCACCGCCGAAGACCTGTTGACAGGCTGGCTGTGTGCAGAGCTTGGAGCCTCAGGAGGGAAAGTCCAAAGGGATTCCGTTCAAGAGGCTGGAGGTGGTTTACAAAACCTGGCTTGGGCTCACAAGACAGTTTGCTGTATCTGTGTTCTGCGAGGCCTTTGTGCCTCCTGCGGGGAGGTAAACATTCCCGGGAGCTGGCCCCTGCGGAGGGCAGCCAGGAAAGCCCATTTCTGCAGCCTGTGGCCCGAACACAGGGCTCTCCACAGCCCGCTCGCACGACACGGTGTTTAATGAGGAGCTTCCTCCGATGGGCTCTGGGCGGCCGTGGGAGGCGGGCACGTGGCCAGGAGAATCCCAGAGAACGCGGAGGCCCACAACTGTCAGGCCCACAGCCGGTGATGTAAGGCCGCTCTGGGGTGTCCAAGGAAAACAAGTCTGTGTTGTCAGGGCCGTCCTGGCAACCGGGAGCTGCCCCCCCAGAGCACACAGTGCTGCGTGATTGCTAGCCCCTTCTTCCTCAGAAGGGGGAAACGTGAAAAACCTTTACTGTCACATAAAAGCCAACCGAAGATATGAGAAATGCCTTTTACAATGCGTCTCGCTGAAGAGGGGTCTCCATAGCAACTTCAGAAGTGTGTGTATACAACCAGATAAGGCCAGGCTGATGAAAGGCGCCCGGAATGTGGACAAGCTCCGCTCTGGGCATCAGCAGGCAGGAGTATTCTAGAGCCTGTCACGTTCCCTCTCTGCCGACTGAGGTGCCAGACTCATCCTCCGGTCAGCTGAGCCACATCAAGGCCATCTTGCCTGGCCTGCTGCTGCTGGCCGCCAGCACGACCCGTGTCCAGTTTCCGTCCAGTCTGTGCTTGAATGGCTCCCGTGTCAGGGCTCTTCCCGCCTTCCCTAGTGCTGGGCGCTGGGCAAGGACAGTGATCGTCTACACTGGATTCTGAAAGAAACTGCTTGGTCACTGAAAGAGCAGTGCTTCCCTGAACAGCAGAAAACATGCTTATTTATACGTGTTTTCACAGCTCCGAAGGCCAGGCTCCTGAGAAAGAGTCTCACGCGGGAGCTTTATTGGGGCAGTTCTCAGCATCAGCCCCTGGGGGGGGGGGGGGGGGCGGGTAGGGCGGAGAGGAAGGTGAAGGGCCAGGCAGTCAGAGGGCCCCTGGAGCTGGGAGGGCCCTGTGGGGACCATCCTGCAGGAGGCGAGGGGCCTGAGCCTTGACGCTCCCACACCGACAGGTCCTGGATGCTCGTGGCCCGGGGCAGGGCCCTTGACCTGGCCGAGGCCACTCCCTTCAGCCTGGGCAGTTCCGGGGAGCGGCTCCGTGGCCACCAGCAGCCCCAGCTGCAGGAAGGCGAGCGGTCCAGAGTGGGCTTGCAGGTGGCGCACGGCGGCTGTGTGTGAATTTACCATGAAGTCAGCGCCAAGGACAGTGATCAAGGTCAAGGGCACAGACAGCAGGGCCCTGGGATCTAAGTGCCAGCCTGAGCGGCCCTGAGACTCTCGGGCCGGGAGCCCCCAGGACAGTCCAGGCCACAGCGTCCTTGTGAGTTCGAGCATCAGCGCGGGGCGGGGGGGGGGGGGAGGTGTGCGGGCGGGAGGACGACGCACACGCACCAAGTTCACACTCTGCCTCCGCACTTCCCAGCCCTGCGACTCGGGCCGCTGCTTGCTGTCCGCTCCCACAGCTCTGACGTGGGGACGGTCGCAGCGCCTCCACCACAGGCCTATGGAAGGCAACAGAGGGGACCCGCAGAAGCATGTCACAGGCCCGGCGGGCGAGCCGGGGAACACAGGCGTGACCATGACACACACCGAGGCTGTGATGTCCTCGGGTTCCATCTGGACAGAGACTGTTTGGTCGAAGGGCTTTCCACGGGAGCGGGGGGACAGGCACGAGGCCTGGGACTGGCTCGTTGTTTCTCTGTGCCTTTCGTGGGACTGCGGCCCTGTCAGCCCTGCCGCGGGCTGTGGGGGGCCAGCCGACCCAGGCTCAGCTCAGAAGCCTTGGCGGGCCCTTCAACGCCAAATAAAAGGCAACAGAGTACTTTGCAAACTGTACACTCGGAAGCATGCTTATTTTCGGGTAAAAAATAGTCACCACCTTGTGGCAGGTTGAATAAACAATGAACCTCACTTGCAGATACTTTGCTCTGCGTTCAGCACAAGTGTTTGTCCGAACCATGGCGTGAGCACACACGCCAAGCGGGGTTGACGTGAGGACGCGGAAGGTTTCAGACACCGGAAAGGGCTTTGCAAATTCAATCACAGTGGTTGGAAGACTCGGCTCCGATCGATTAGGAAGGGGAACAGGAAGGCAGGGGCCTACCTGTGGTAGGAACTGGCTGGCTCTCATTCTACAAAGCAGCCACGGAACTCCCAAGAGTTACCAGAAGCTCTCCATCAAGACGGTTGATTTCCACTAGCACTGTGCTGCAGTGGGCAGGCCCGCACGCTGCCTCGTTCCTCTCCAACAACAAACCCTGGAAAGTAGGGATTACGACCCCAGCTTGCAGGTGACAGAACCGAGGCCCAGAGAGGTACAGTGGCCGGCGCAATGTTGCTCAGCCCGGAGTATGTCAAGGGATTTAGGGCTGGAACCCAAGCACCAGCTTTCCTGACTGCAGAGAGAGTGTCTGCGCCCCGGGAAACTCTCACGAAGCGTCCCCCCCCCAGCAGATGCTATGGTGCCAGCCGCCACAAGGCAGGGTTCCGAGGAGGTGGGCATCACGTGTCCCTGGGGCTTTGCCCACAAGAAATGTCTCCCCACCTGGCACTGGCTCGCAGGGACTGACACTGTCATGCTTGGGGGCCTTTGCGGCTGCAGAAGAAAGCCCTCTTGGTCTGACTGTGTGTCTGCTGGCCAAATATCCACAAACAGAACATCTCCAAATAGGGGGGAGGTCTGGCTCGACGTACCCACGTGAGACGTTTTTAGCTAACTCTCCTCCACCCTTGTGTCTCCCGCTTTGTCTCTGCTGGGACAGCGGTGCCTGGAAGATTGGCGACACAGCTATCAGCAAATTGAGGGGGACTGCCAGGTCCGTGCAAACTGCCCAGGGTGCTTGCCCGGGCCTCCCCACATCTCAAGTGGACTTCTCTTCCTTCCTTCTCGAGAGATCCTCATTTTAAAACAAGGACACTGAGGCCCAGAGAGGTTAAGTGACTTGCCGGAGGCCTCACAGCAACTTAGGGAGAGAATCCAGCTTTCTAACAGACGTGTTCAGACTCCACATGGGAAATCAGATTAAAATGAATATCCAGGGCTAGCTGGAAAGGGACAGGAGTCCTCAAGGGCAGCTTGGGGGTGAAGGTGGAGGAAGGTGGCCTTGTGCAGCCCTCGAGCCTCAGGGAGGGCCTGTCAGAGGGGCCGGCGCTCTGCGTTACAGGTGGCTCTGTATGAGGCCACATCCTCCTGCTTGCCCAGCACCAGCTCCTGAAATTGTGTTTCCCAAAGTCTGTTCCTGCCATACCGTGCTTCTCAAAACTTTAGGTGCATGCAAATCATCAGGTGAACCTGTTAACATGCAAATTCTACTTAGTAGCTCTGGGATGACGCCTGAGGTTCCACATGCTAACAAGTTCCCAGCGATGCTGCTGCTGCTGGTGTGTGGACCACACGGTGGGTAGCGAGGCATCAATAGTGTACAAAGAAAAGGGTTTTGGGGTGAATCCTTTTGAGAATATCTGGACTAAACAAAATTAAACCAGTTTCCTCACTGCAGGACTTCCCCAAACCTTGAAAATGCTAGCGAGCGTCGTTACCGTCCCAGAGGGAGCGCTAATACAGAACCGCAAAGCGCTGTGCGCGAGAAAGGGCGAGGGAAGAAGGCCCAGAACGCGGGCGCTCGCCGGTGTACGCAGGAAACGGACGCGTCGTGCGCGCGGCTCCCCGCTCACCTGGCCCGCTGGGCCCCTCCCGGCCCCTCCCCAGGCGCACCTGCCGGCCGCCAGCCTCCGGGAGCACGTGCGCCCCGCCCCGCCCCCCAGCCGCCGGGAGCGCCCGCGCGCAGGCCTACCTTTCGCAGACGCGCACGGTCCAGGCGGCGATGATCCACAGCGAGATGCTGAACACCAGCAGCACGGTGCCCGGGCAGATGGTCATGAGGGTCTTCATGACGAAGCGGGTGTTGAAGTTGATCTTGTTGAGCGCGCCGATGCTGCGGGACGAGGCGTCGGTGAAGAGCTTGCTGTGTAGAAGCATGACGCGCGCGATCAAGTACAAGCGCAGGAACATGGGGATGGACAGGATGATGTCCACGTCGGCCTCCGCCCGCGACGGCGTGTACGAGAAGGCCAGGCGGGCCGTCCAGAAGAACTTGTACTCGCCGGGGATGGGGTGGATGGCGCACACCAGCATCTCCAGGCTGATGTGCAGGATGCGCTCGTAGGTCATGGCGATCCGCCAGTCGTCCGCGCCGTTGTCGATCACGAAGAGCTGGCGGGAGCAGAGAGCCCGTTAGAGCGGCCGGGGCTCACCTCGGGGCCCCCAGGGGAGGCCTGGCCTGTGCGCTCGGGGCCCTGCTGGCCTCTCCAGACTGCTTCCCGCGCCCCTTCCTGCCTGAAGGTGCCCCGAGCTGGCTGTCCCGCGAGCAGGAGGAGGAGCCGCCGGTCCTGCTAAAACTGGCCCTGCGCCCCTGCGGGGCCCTGGCGGGGGGCGTGGAGGTGAACAGCGGTGCTCCCCACCCGAGCGACCCCGGGGGCTGCGCAGCTTCTCTCCCCCTGCGGAGAAGGGGTCCGTGTGCCCGGCCGCACTTTGGCCCCACACAAGGCAGCAGAGTGTCCACGGTGGGGGCCCTGGGTCAGGATCCCGACCCCAAGGCGAACCAGCTCTGTGATCGGGGTACGTTAGCGAACCTCTGTGTACCTCAGGCTACCCCCGCCGCCGGCCGGCTCCGTGAGGCTGCTCTGGGTCTGTGTGCACGGGGTCAGAAGCCCGCCTGGCTGCCAGGAAGCCCTTGCTGTGATTACCGTTAGCACCACGGGTGGCCGGGCTCAGGGCCGCCTGGCGGCACTCGCCCTCCTTGCCTCTGAGACCCCTGCGGCCACACCATGAGGGTGAGCACCTGCTGCGTGGCTGGCCCTGGCTGCTGCTGGGGCCCACAGGGGGGCCAGGCCTTGTCCTCAAGGAGGTCCCACCTGAGGAGTCGAGGCTGAACAAAGCAGCTCTGAGCTGTTCCACAAGGGGAACTAGGAGGCACTGTGGGTCCAATGGGGCCCAGTGGCTCTCATGAGGAAGGTGTGATCCCTAGCCAGGAGAAGGTACCCAGCCCCGCACCCAGCCAGGACTCCCCTCCCGCCGTCCCCAGTGCAGCTGAGCCAGGGGCGGGGGGTGGTCCAGACACAGCCTTCCACCATCTGCAGACACAGAAAAGCCCTAAATGGCTGCTCGGTGGGTCCCCTCTGCTCCTAACTGCCACCGACAGGCCAAGCCATGGCAACGTGACTGCTGGCCAGACTCTTCAAATAGGAAACGAAAACCGTGCACCCTATAATAAAGAAGTGCATCGGGTTACTATAGTAACCGGGTTCGCTGTGGGCAGGAACCCAAGCGACGATGCCGAGGCACAGACCTCTCTGAGTCCCCCGCGGGGAGGGAGACTGTGTGCTCTCCATGTTACAGGAGACGGCACATCACGGGCCCAGCCTGGCAGGAAGGTGCTGGTCCCCGGGTCTCCTGGTGTGGGAGGAGGGGGTGGGGGCAGTGAGCAGAGGTGGGTGAGCCCCACGGGCGTCGCCACATCCAGTTATTAGCTGTGTGCCCTTTGGCGGCTCACACGCTGCTCTGAGCCAGTTTCCACCTCTCTGCCAGCGAACTCTTCATCTTGAGCCTGCCCATCTCACGGGATTAGCGTTGGGGTCCAGAAATACGGATAGTACGCGGAAGTGTGCTTTACCGACCACTCTAACAGTGGCCTGGGGCACTCATAAACAGGGTGTCCGTGGGGCGTGGGGGGGCTGGGGCTCCAGGGCAGGCCCTTGTGTCCCAGGAGACTCCACTGCTGTCCCACATGAGGACCCCCTAATGCCCACCGGAGCCACAGGGCAGCCCCGCGGCTCTCGCCTTGGGCAGCCCCCACCCACCGCGTCCTCGCTCAACTTCCTGCTTCCTGCGTGTCCCTCACATGCTGCAGATCTCGGTGCGTACTTTGCTTGTCTGTCTGTCCCCCGGAATGCTAGAACCACTCGGAGAGTTTGTTGAAAATACCCGTACCTGGGCCCACGCAGACCAAGCCGATCGGAATCCCTGCGGCTGAGGCGCCAGCATTGGGATGTTTCTTCAAGCTCCCCAGCGGACTCTAAAGTGTCTCCGGACTGGGAGCCCCCAGCACCGCCGGCCTCCTGAGCGACAGGGGCCGTGTCCTCCCTGCTGCCTGTGGCGCCTCCGGGACCCGGCCCGGCCCACACGCCGAGCTAGTGCTGGTGAGTGCGGGTTTAGTGAATGGCACGGCTGCTTACTGTGGGAGACCCCTGGCTGAGCGCCCTCTTGGGCTCAGTCTCCTCCTCTGAGGAGTGAGGAGCAGGTCAGTCGGCCCCCAAGTTGCCGTCTCCTCTGAAGACCCTCTGGCTTGGCGCCTCCCACTTCCTGTGTGTTGGCGCATGAGCTCTCCAGCGCCAGGACCGACCCCAGCGCGTCTCCTCTCTCCAGCGCCTGGGAGGGTAGCTGGCGTGCAGTGGGCAGGCTCTGGCACTTTGGCGGCTAGAGGGCTGTGTAGCTGGATGACTGTGTCATGTGAAAAAGAGGACAGATGGCCAGAGCCCCTTGCCGGCCACCCAGGAATGGGGATTCCTGTGGAAAACTCATTCCTAAGCCTGTGACCAACGAAGTACCTAACGGTTCACCTTAGCCACGGGCAGGGCACCCTCCGTTCCCAGGGGCTGGTCCAATCTGGAATAAATAAACAAAGCCTTAGAAAGTTCTGGAGGGCGCCTGAGTGGCTCAGTTGATTAAGCATCTGCCTTCGGCTCAGGTCATGATCCCAGGGTTCTGGGATCGAGCCCCGCATCAGGCTCCCTGCTCGGCAGGGAGCCTGCTTCTCCCTCTCCCTCTGTCTGCCATTCTGCCTACTTGTGCTCTCTCTCTATCTCTGTTAAATAAATAAATGAAAATCTTTAAAAAAAAAAAAAAAAAGAAAGTTCTGGAGCTGCTCTGGAACCGGGACCTCAAGCAGCGCTGGGCCAGAAGGGTGAGGGGAAGGGAGAAGCAAGTCCAGCCAAGGACCGTCCTCCCCTGTGGTGTGGTCCCAGCCATGCAGCCCCGGCTCTGGAGCAGCCCGTTTGAGGATGGTGTAAGCACGCCAACGGGATGTGGGGGCCTGGCCTGGGGCACGGGGCACCAGGGAGCCCTCAAGAGCTCGGCTCTGGGCAGTCACAGAGCAGACGCCTCGGAGGCCCGGGCTGACCAGTGAGTTTCCTCCTACCGCGGCCCCTCAAACGCTGGCTTGCCCACGTGGAGAAGGCACATCCCATTGTCCCCGTTGCTGGGAATTTCCGCCCCCTAAGCCTACAAGAGTGATCTCAGCCATTTGGGTCTGGCCAGCCTGAAGGAGCAGGGCCCAGTGGCCTCTCCTGCCTCGGGCAGGGCCCTGACCTGAGCTGACTCCACACCTGGTCCTTCTGCCACTCGGCTGGTGGTTCTGAGAACCTGGAGGATTCTCAGCCTGTGAGCATCACCCTGGGAGCTTCAGGAGGGAGATTTAATGTGACAGAACGATCCCACACTTCCCTTCACGGAGCTTGTAATTAGAGAGAAGGGAGAACCAAGTCAACTCAGCTCAACTCCGTTCAACAGAATGGTTGTTAAGAACCGACTACCGATGCTCCTCGACTTCCAGCGGGGTCCCTGACCACCGACCATGGCCGCTTAGCCTGGCCGACCCCAGCCAAGCTCACAGCACTGGTGCTGTGCCTTGCGTCACATCTGAATGCCACGCTGGAAGTGACAAGCCAATGGCTGTGCGGGGACAGAGTGCCCGTCGGCTGTCCGGCTGGCCCCCAGCCGCCGCCCGCACCATGGGGGAGGACCATGTCACGTGTCCCCAGCCCAGGAAGGGACCCATAGACTGAGTGCACATCACCGTCACGGCATCATCAAGGCAAAAACTCGGGGCCCATGTGCAGCCCTGGAGGTTTGCTAAGGAAGTAACCGTTCTGTGCTAGCCCCCGCAGGGGAAGCAACGATGCAGGGGACGGATGTGCCCACGAGCCGGACTGTGGCGGTCATTCCACAGTGCAGACTTGGAATGTACCCAGTTGTATTTGTCAGTTATTCCTCGATAAGAAGGAACCAAGCAGGTGAGGACACGGCAGGGACATAAATACGAATCCGACCCATATCCAGGAATCAGCCTGTGGCCTCCGGTAGCTCTAGCATGAGAGGCAGGTGAGGGCGCATCCGGGAAGCTTCTGGGGTGAGGCAGGGCCTGGGAGGCCTGTCCCACACACACGTGGCTGCTTGTGCAAGTGACCCCCCACCCTGTTTGCTCGCTTCTTCACACAGCGCTTTGCCTCTCCTCCCAGCGTGAGGTGCCGTCCGTCTCTCAGCCCCGGACTCTGAACTCGGCCATGTGCCTTGCTTTGGCCAGTGGGGCGTAGCAGGGGTCGGGAAGGGTCTGCGCAGCGGGGCCTGCACTGGACACCCTGTCTTCCCTGCCACCCCGCCTGCAGGCAGCACTGGCTGCATGGCCCCAGGGAAGGCCAGGCCAGACTGCCGACCCACACAATCATGAGGGAACGAGGCTTGTTTCAAGACATTAATTTGGGGCGTGTCTTCGTATGCAACAAAAGTAACACATAACAAACCTCGCTCACGCACTACGGAACCCGCGTGTCAGGAGAGCCGGGTCCTTTGCCTGCTGCGCCCCACATTCTCCTGCTGCTCCTGCATGGCTCCCCAGTCCGGCCGGGTCAGTCTGGCTCCGTAACTGCGCGACCATCTGGGGAGGGACCAGGACAAGGGCACCCAGCTTTCCCAGCCTGGGGACACCTCATTTCATAGATCTGAGAATAACTCGATGCCTTTAAAAAGCGAGTTTGCGGGCACCTGGGTGGCTTAGTCGTTGAGCGTCTGCCTTCAGCTCAGGTCATGATCCCAGGGTCCTGGGATGGAGCCCCGCATCGGGCTCCCTGCTCCGCGGGAAGCCTGCTTCTCCCTCTCCCTCCGCCTGCCACTCCCCCTGCTTGTGTTCCCTCTCTCGCCCTCTCTCTCTGTCAAATAAATAAAATCTTTAAAAAAATAAAATAGGGGTGCCTGGGTGGCTCAGTCGGTTAAGCGTCTGCCTTCGGCTCAGGTCATGGTCCCAGGGTCCTGGGACCGAGCCCCGCATCGGGCTCCCTGCTCGGCGGAAGGCCTGCTTCTCCCTCTCCCACTCCCCCTGCTTGTGTTCCTGCTCTATCTCTCTCTCTGTCAAATAAATAAAGTAGAATCTTTGAAAAAAA